AAGTGTCCTTGGGCAAGACACTAAACCCAAAAGCTGACCCTGATGGCAAGCAGGCACCTGGTATGGCAGCTCTGTTGCCATTGGTGTGTCAATGTGTGGGTCAATGGTAAAGCACTGTTAAGCACTTTGAGGTAGAAAAGCACGAAATACAGTTCAAACCAGAAGTTTACATACACTGTATAAAAGGACATAAAACCTTTTTTTTTCCCTCACTGTCTGACATTAAATGTGACAAAACTTTTCCTGTTTTAAGTCAGTTAAAAGTAAAAAAAATTACCTAAACAATTCTCTCTCTCATTATTCTTGTGTTTAGCAAATAGAAATAATTTTGGTAATCCTAACTGACCTAAAACAGGAAAGGTTTAGTCTGATTTAATATCAGACAGTCAGAAAAAAAAAGGTTAGATGTCTTTTTATACAGTGTATGTAAACGCATTGTAAGCTGCAGAATCATCAAATGAGGATAAATTCTGTTCTTGTACAACTGCACAGCCTTCTCCACTGTTTGAATGCTTTGAGGGAAAACTATTCACTGGATTATGTTTACAAATCTACATTTGTTACTGACCTATCAGATGTTTCAATTCAGCTATTTTGCCATTTGTTTTATTGCTTTACTGTCACTCTTTTTCGGCCGACCAATCAGATATAAGTTAAATGGGACTCGTCATCTTGGAAACAGAAATTGGACGAGAAGCCTCAGTCATGTTGTAAATAAGTTATGTTCTAACCTTTCTGGTGCCTAAACTTAACTAAGCTTCTAAAACGTGCTTATCGTTGTAAAAATGTCAATTACAGCATGATGTTGTCCTAAACCTTACCATGTGGTTTTTAATGCCTAAAACTAACCAACCTTTACTGAAACCAAAAGTAAATGATGACTGGAAACGTAACTAAAGTCTAAAAATAACGGTACAGTGGAGGACATGGACTCCAGTCTGCTTGATGAGGGTCCTGTGCCAACTTGTGTCTCCACTGTTCCCTCCTACCGCTTTATATGGACTTGTGTCAAACTGGAACGGTTTTTTTTCAAAGTCATAGTTGAGAAAATATGTTTGTTTCAAAACGCTTTATAGAATGTTGTTTAGTAATTTTGTGGAGCTACTGTGGGCTTGGTGGGCTGGGCTAACAGGAGCAAAGACAGATTTGTATGTTGTCAGTGTTTTACTACTTTATTTTATCCTGACAGATCATTTAGTGGGGGTGTGAGGTAGGATTGGTTAAAGACTAGTGGAGTATTTCCTGTACAAAACACTGTACATTTCCTACAACCAATCTAGAATCACCAATTAGCCTGCATGTGTCTTTGGACTGTGGGAGTAGCACCTGGAGAAAACCTACGTAGGCACCTCATTCAAACCCTGGACCTTCTTGGTGTGAAGCTAGAGTGCTAACGACTCAGTGGTGAGTCGTTAGCACTCTAATTTTTTGCAAAAGCATATTTTAAGAAGTGACTTAATGGAGGAAACTGACTCTGAACTGAATCTGAATCTGAAATCTGAAATGAAACTGAATTCCTCGGGCAGAGCCTCGGGCCCTGACTGTCAATATTCTGCCCTCTTTATTTCACAGCTGGACTCTGAAATGCACAAAAAATCTCTGTTAGAGGACTTCAAACTTTTTAAATTAAAAAAAAAAGCAATAAAGACTATTATGTTGCTGAGGAAAACTCAGCTAAATTTCCTTTAGTTTTTATTGAATAATACTGCTAAAAGAATTAACTACACATCTATTAGATGCCTGTTACACGTCTATTCGTGTGAAAAAAACTCTCCATCTTTAGATGAGGTCACAAGGGTTCACTCCCAAGAAGGGTCTCACAGAGGTCACTGTGCCTCACTCCAAGATCGTACTGATTGTACAAGATTGTCCATTCTAGTCTTGTTTTGAAAAAGATTGTGTATTTTCATGCACGTACTGCGTACTGTACGGATTTGGTGGTAGGTTGGAGAGACACTTTTGATTTTCACTTGAATGTTTGGAACTCATATAAAATGGGAAGCAGTGAGATATTTGATCGACACACTCTGTACTCTGAGGTGATTTATGAAAAAAAATAAGTCCTATAGTAATGAGACTGTGTGAAAGAGGACAGAAATGCCTACATTTTTATGCATACATATTTCATGTTGAGTAGAAATCGTGAGAAGGAGACAAGGGTAACGGCACTTTCTTTGTAAAAAATTGTTCTGGTCAATTCAGTAACGAATTCATGGCACACAATTCCTGTTCGAGCCACATGTTTTAATATATAATTCATATTGGTTTTCTGAAAGCTGCGGGACAAGCTAGGTGCCAGAAATTGTGTTGAAAGAACCTATAAAAAGAATTTTCTGAAGAAGTTTTAAGTGTGCCAATGCAACTTCTTAATATGTCCTGCTATAATTATACATATGGTATAATTTGCATGAGTGCATTTCATTTTGAAAAGCCAGCATATTTCACAAACCCTGATCAGTTCCTACTAACATCTCTGAGTTTTCCCTTTGAAAGTGTCGCACGTCATAGAATCCTGGTGACTCCGTGTAAGTGGCAGTGTTTTTTATGGGCTATGACATTGTGACTTGAAAAAAAAGTGATGATGATGTTTAAATGG